ACCAGCAACTTAGTAAGATATCAAAGAAGAAAAAAAAAAAGATTCTAACCAAGCATTGGCTATTACAAAAAGTAGAAGGCAAGACATATACTAAGATAAGTAAATGCAAAGGATGTGAGAACAAAACAGAACAAATGACAAATAATTGTGAAAAGTGAATAAGATAAAATAATAATTTAAAGGCAATTCCAGAAACATTAGTAGAGAAAGGCAGTAACAAGATTAATGCAACGCTAGAACAAATGCTAGAAAATAGAACAGTAAAAGAATAGAAGAAAGAAGAAAGTAGTCTAATCAAGCTAAAACAAGTAGAAAATTTAGAGACAAAATTAATTAAGAAACAAAAATTTGATAGTAAAATTATAGACTATATATTAGAAGGTCTAATGAGAAACAAGAAGAGAAACAAAGACAAATATATTCTTTATACAGATGAAGCACTATATAAAGAGAAAGAAAAAGGGGTATAGAAAAGATAGGCATTGGTTAGGTGCAGGTCAGCAACAGGAAAAACTGGCCAAAGGAAGAAAGAGCACTGAGACTTGAAGGTTGGCCCTTAGCAATGATAGCAGAATTAGTAGCAATATGGTTAGCAATTCTAACTATATTAGAGAAGAAATATATAGAAGTGCATACAGATAGCCTAATAGCATTAAAACATATTAATAAAGCAATTCAAATGATTAAAGATAACAAAGTCTTAAAAAAGAAAAATGCAATATAGATAATAAATATTGTAGGTCTATTTAAAAATAAAAACAATAGAATAAAACTAGTTAAAGTTAAAAGTCACAGTAATGATAAGTGAAATAACAAAGCAGATTTACTTGCCAAAAAAGAAGCAATATGTGGAAGAACAATATTTGTAAAGAAGATCAAGTGTGATAAAATAGAGTATTACTTAGAATAGAAAAACAAAAAGTTGATATACTAACAAAATTTCTTTACAAAATAGTTACAAATACCAGAATTAGAGCTAGTTGGAGAGAAACAAACCCAATTCGAGCACTAGAGCCAGAAAACTGAAAACACTCAATATAACTGGTCAAGCTTTTAGAAAGAGATGAATAGAACAAAGAGTGTACATTGTACAACAAGAAAACTTAGTATAAAAAGAGCAATAGTGATTAAATGCATAATGGACAGCCTACTAATACTAGAAGAATTAAATAGAAAAAGACTAGAAATATATACAATGACAAACTGCCAAGTATGCCAAAAAGGTGAAAAGGAAACTCAAGCACACCTGGCAAGCTGCAGTAAACAAAAAAGCTTGTAGAAGAGAATCCAAAAGATAACAATAGCAGCAGCTTGGAACAGCTTTAAAGAAAATGAAAAAGTTAGAATCCCACCTTTAGTACTATATAAGGCACTTTTTGGAAAAACAGAAGCAGAGAAATTACTAATAAAATAGCTTTAATAAAAGGGCTAACAACAAATGAGATTGGGAAAAGGATCAGTCAGATTCTAGATAAACAGGCAGTACAGAAATATATAGATATAGTAACAAGAACAGTGTGGAATATATTTTATGACCAAGTATGGAGAGTTCAATGTGAAAAAGTACAAGAATGGGAAAAAAAGGTTAATATAACAAGCAAAATAAAAAAAGATGCTTAAGCTAAAAAAAGATCAAAGAAAAGAACAAAAAAGAATAAGATAGCAAAAGAAGAAGAAAACGAAAAGAAAGTAGAAAAAATAAACTAAATGAAGGAAAAAGCTTGAAAGACAATTGATATGCTTGTCACAGAAGAGAGAAAACCTTTCTAGTATGGCTTTAAGTAGTTAGATAAGCAGTCTATCTCTAACTGAGATAGTGCAGCAGGTTGCACTTAGGTACCAATAAGGTGGCTGAGTGATGCTAGACTTGAGTATTGAAAAATTTTATAAAATTATAAATGTAAATAGTTTCAAGAATCTTAATAAAGTACTAGTGTAACTGCTTAAGATTAAAAAAAAATTGTATATACTGTTATGACTTAATTAGTGATATTGCAAGCAAATTTTTATAGCTGGTTCTGGGTCAGCATAATTTTGGCTTGCCTTTTCTTTGGTCAAATATCTATTATATAAATAAATTAGAATATTCTTCTGATTCTATTTTGGCAGGATACAAATTAGACCCAAAGTCAATACCAGAAGGTTCAGTAGAATGCAATAAATGATCATGTAGTTTATTTCTGAGCTATAATTTTTATTTTATATGTATAGTTAATGATTAACAAAGTCTATATTAGAGGCCTGTAAATTGCCTATTTTTGAGGCCCAGCCTGGCTTGCATTAGGATTAAAAATTTTTTTTAGGCCTAGCCTGGCCTGCATTTAGGGTTACTATTTTTTTGTCAGCCTGGTCTGGCCCACATATATTAAATTTTTTCTTCAGCCCAGCCCAGTTTGCAAAAATTTCTTATATAATTTTACAAATTTTTAGGCCCACACTGGCCTACAATTATAAAGTTTTGCTAATTTTTCAGCCTGGCCCACAATTATAAAATTTTGCTTCAGGTCCAGCTCAGCCCACAAAAATTTGCAGGCCAGGCTGCGGGACCCAACACAAGCCTCTAGTCTATATTAATTGTAGTTACAGCATCATAGCTTATTTACTGCAAAAATTTCTCTATGGTCAAGACTTAGCTATATAGAAAATCTTCTTCTCAGTTTTCTCTAAATCTTCTACAGAAATTGTTTTGTTACAATCTAGACAATTTCTTATTAACTTTACAAAAACAGCTTTTCAATAAGGTTATGCAATTGATTGTAATCATGACACACTAGGATTATAAATATTATTGCAACCTATAACTGTAACTTGCTGAATGCTGTACAATTTATTGAGATAATTTGTCTGCATTACTAATAGAATTGTTTTTACAAATCAAGATGGCTAAAATAGTAATTTTAGCTATAAAAAAATACTTGTTGAGTTTTAACAATTTTACTATTTGAATTAACTACAGTATTACAAAAAATTTAATTTTAGAAAGTTACTAAAGCCTTATTTACTGAAACTTACAAAAAATTACAAGGAAAATAAATGTATTTAAAGTTAATTACATGTAAAATTACTACTTTACAAAAAACTTTTCACTTATATTGTCCTTTTATTTATATCACTATTAAAATTATTCTTAAGTAATATAAGTAAATACATCATTTAAAATTATAATTCTTATAAAACAAAAAAAAATAAGATATCAAATATGAATAACAAAAAAAAAAAAAAAAAAACTATAATGTTTATATTTAAAAAACAGATATCGAATATAAAATGCTATAATATTATTTATTTAAATCACTATATATATTCTGGACCAAAAACTTAATTTCAAATTCCATATTTATATCTTCTTTAATCAGAGGAGTTTCTTTTAAATTACTAATTACTCTGAATATTTGATTTGACAGATCTACTAGATCTTGAAGAGCCATCATAATATTATTTTCTGTGGGTTACACAATTTCTGTTTCACTTTCACTTTTACTCAAATCAAGATAATCAATTTCTGAAAAGACTATTTCATTTAATACCCTATTATATAACTCCCTCTTCACAAAACTATTTTTATAAAATTTTAATTCTTTTTTAATCTTTGATATATAAAAAGAGTAAATTTGCATCATACTCTCTAATTATGATACTTGAAACTGTATGTGACATCCTTTACAAAGTCATTTCAAAATAGAAAAATTTTACTTATAATTGGCTTGTAAAGGTACAATAGAGAACATAATTTGAGCTAATTCTTGTAAATGTGAATATTCATCTTCAACAACATCTTACCATAAGAAGGAAGTTAAGTCAGAAAAATATTCAAAATCCTAAGATGCAACTCTTGCTTTATATTTGATTAATTGATTTACTAATTCACAGTATTCTTTTTTACTATGATGTAAATTTTTATAATAATCAACTACTAATTTGCAAATATGATGAAATGTTTCTTTTTTTAAACTACAACTACAGTAATTTAGATAGAAAAAGTAAGTTAAATGATATGAAGAAATATCAAATTGCTAATAACAAAAATTAAATGCAATAATAGCCAAGTTGTGAAAATCATTACTAGCAGGTATTCTTATAAGAGTAATAGCAATTTGTACTATTTTTATAAAACAATCAGCCAAGTTTGTCATATGACTTTTAAGTATATTAATCACATACTTAATTGGTTCAAAAACTGAAGCAATTCTTTTGCATGAGGTATAAAAAATATTATCTATATCATATATAATTTTATATACTTCTTGGTTTGTAAATATATCTGCTTGTTCTTTAAGAAGCTAAAAAAAAAATTAATATGTTATTTTGAATACTAACTACTTAAAAACCTTGACTACACAATATATTGTATAATATACTAACTTTATCAATAGCAGGTTTAACACATACAATAGAACTAGTTGTGTTATAAATAGATATTCAGTATATATCACTATATGTTTCTAATGATCCTTCTTTTATATTCATTAATGCAATTGTATCATGCAGAACTCGGCTTGTTATATGAGACTTTTGAAAAAATGAAACTAGCATATTGGTTTGTTTTAAAATTTCTTTAATTGGTGTTATTTTTACAAGATTAGCTACTACCAGATTCAATGCATGAGTGATGCAATGTATACTTAATATGTAGAAAAAATTTTGGTAAATAGTTTTTCATGCCACACATACATTAGGCCCATTATCTGTTACAATTGCTGCAAAATGATGCAAACCAATTTTTTCAATAATATTTGAAATTTTATTTGCAATAAAATTTTCTGGTTGATGCTCTTTTGAACAATCAGTTATAGCATAAAGATATTTATAATAGTTTGGAGTTACAATAATATAGTTATAAAGGAAATCACCTTTTGGAGAAGTCCAACTGTCAAGCATTATAAATAAAATAAAGTAATACATATTTAATAATTATTATATAATTAAAATTTAACTAAATTATACATACTCAAAGTTAAATTATCAGTTTTTTGTAGTTTAGCTTTTATTTTTACAATAACTTATGCAATTTCTCCATCAAGTACTGGTCCTAAAAGAGTATCATTATGTGGTAGAGTATAACCAGATTGCAAAAAATTTAATAAATCCTAAAAATAAAGATTATTAATAACTGCAAAAAGAATTTTACAGCATACAAAAGCTTTAAGTAATGTTTTTATAAAATCTGCAGATTGTTGAGAAGATAATAAAATAACAAATTGATAATGTGAGGTAATCGATTGATTGGCAGTTTTGACTTTTTTTCTTGAAATTTTATTATTCTTATTGTTATTTGCTTTTTTGCCTCTTTTAGCAATCTCAATTAACTATTTTTTTCTAATATTATCTGGAACTGGTTCTTTACAATAAAGTGCTAAATGAGCTTTTATAACAGAAGGTTTGCCACACTGCCATTTTTTCTTATCATAATAATGACAATTTGCTCCAAAATGCCCATGCCCATCATTTTCACCTTCACTATAATCATTTCAAATTGGCATTTTTGGTCTACTCCCTTACTTTTCTCTGTTTTGTCCTTATGTTTTATTGAAGAATTCAAGATTTCAAAAGGTTAAGAACTAAAAAATTTACTGTTTTGCATGTTTGTTTCTTTTATAATAACTATCAAATAAATTTTTGTTGTAGCTAAATATTAAACATGATTATAAAAAGATTACTATTTATAAGTAAAATGACAAGCAAGCTAAATTTCAAATAATTTTACAGAAATCTACTGTTTTTAATTTATGATTAATAATCTAATATTTTATATAGAAATTATAGCAATTATCATAAGAAATGAAATTATTTTGCTACTATATCATACAGATTTTTATTTGAAAAACATAAAAAAATAATATTCTTTTACTAATGCTTTTATTTTAATTTATTAGTACTTTACAGATTTTTTTTAAAGCTATATGAAATACTATCATATGCATGAGTTATATGCTAATCAATTTTAGTATTAGATAAGGCTCTTAATATTAATAGTAATCAGAAATTTTACATAATTTTTAGTATTAGACCAAGGCTTTTAATATTAATAGTAATCACAATTTTTTATATAAAATTTACACAATAAAGTTTTACTAATAAAATTAAAAAAATTAAAGTTTTTTCTGTAAAAATTTTCAGATAATAGTATATTTACTTACTATATACAGCATTCAGTTTTAAATTATAACAAGTAAAAGAAGTTTAATGCTTGATTCTTATGCATGTACAACTGAATCTAATTGATTAAGAGAAAATTTAAGCATATAATATCTATGAATCTTTAATTTCAAATATGATATACATAATTACAAGATTTTATAATATAAACATATAGATTAAAAATTTTTAATTTATGATAATTTAGGTAATTGTCCAAAAAGAAGCAGAGGACTCTTAAATTTTATGCATATTAATACAAAAGTTACATTTTTAATATACTTGATATTAAAATATCAAAAATGTATTTCTGAATTTTCTGTCTGTCCAATCACATGATCTGCATTATAAATAAAAATATCACATAATTTATCTAATTTGGCATCAATTTTATTATATAATAATTAGTACAAATAATATTTTATAGGCAGAAGTTTGTACGATAACTAATAAATTCAATTGAATTTACATTATTTATACAGTTTAAAATACTTTTAAAAAAATAAAAACAATCATAACAAAGTAAAAAAAAAAGCTTATAAAAGGTTTCATTAGAGTTGTAAAACTCTATAGTCAAAAATAAGATCTAATTCTTACCTATTTAAAAACAAATTAGCTTAATAATAAGTTGATTTTATCAGGTTTT